GTAGTCAAAATACCAATTCACGTAAAATGAACAAGTTTTTTGTTGTTGTTTTTGTTTTTGTTTTACAAGACAGGGTTTCTCTGTATTGTTTTGGAGGCTGTCGGTCCAGCCCGGCCTCGAACTCACAGAGATCCACCTGCCTCTGCCTCCCGAGTGCTGGGATTAAAGGCGTGCGGACCACCGCCCAGCTATAAAATGAACAAGTTTTTAATTTAAGTTTTTAAAAACATTGAAATAAACCAGGCATGAGGCAACTACCTATAATCCTATCACTCTAGAAACCAAGGCAGAAAAATTGCCAAGAGTTCAAGGTCAGTGAGACTTCATAATAAGTTCTAGATTAGCCAGGATTACATAACGTGTGTGTGTGTGTGCATGAATGTGGGGGGGGTCTCCATCTTGACATATCTTAAGACAGGGATATTTCACAGTGTAATGTTAGTATGGATTCCAGTCCTCCAGTCTCACTAATAGCTAAGTGAACTAGGGCAGAAAGAGTGAACTTAGGGGGTCAGGATACTTCCAAACAACATCGGAATGAGAACACACAAGCATGACGGCACATGGAACCTCCCATAGGATAGATCATGTTAAAAACACAGCAGCGGGTGCCAGACAGAGCCAAAAGAAGACAGAGAAACAGAACAGGTAAAATCCCTACTGGGGGGCATGAGGAAGTTCTGGATGAGACACACAGTCCTTTATCTGGGAAGAGCAACACCGCACTGCACACACAGCTTTTCAGAAGGTAAACCTCAGGTCTTCTTGCAAAAGTGGAAAAATCATAACAGTATTGAAGAAGCAAACTTGCTATGCTGTGCTGTATTAAGTCAAAACTTATCTTTCTCAAATGAGCCAGGAGAGCTAAGCATGGTAGTATACACCTGAAGACCCAGCTCCTGAGGGGCTGAAACCAGTCTAGGCTACATAGTAAATGATCCTATTGGAGGGAAGGGAGAAGGAGGGAGGGAGAAAAGGAGAGAGGGAGGGAGGGAGGAAGGAAGGACAGACAGAAGGAAGGAAGGAAGGAAGGAAGGAAGGAAGGAAGGAAGGAAGGACAGTGAAAAGATACAAGGGGAGCATAAGGTACCACATATTAGAGTCACCATTTACAAAGAACTCTATTTTTAAGAGTGTGATATAATTACATTTCTCCATGCAAACACTTCCATGTACCTCTCCTTGCTCTCTTTAAAATTCCGTCTCTTTTTCTTTGTTATTCCATGCACACACACACACACACACACACACACACACACACTTATATTCCTAGATATAGCCTGCTCAGCCTGTACACTATTACTTGTGTGTATGTCTTCGGGGCTGAGGGTTAGGTATTGGACAGCCAACTACTGAGCTCTCCCCTGGGGAGGACCACATTTTCTGCCCCCAGCTTGCCTCAGTTCCCTGTAGTTCTTTCTGTAGGATTGAGGTCTTGTGGGCGTTTCCCAGTCTATTCTGACATGTCCGTCATTGTTGTCCTTGTCCAGCACATATTAAGGCAGTCACACTGGTGTAAGCGTTTAATCCCAGCACTCAGGAGACAGAGGCAGGCAGATCTCTGAGTTTGCAGCCAACCTAGTCTACAGAGATAGTTTCAATACAGCCAGGTCTACACAGAGAAACCAAAAGGGGGGGGGGGGGGTGTTCCTTGATGCCTCCTTGATGATGTCCTTTGGATATAAGGACAAATGTTTAGCTTCTTAGGATTATGCTATATTCAGTAAGGAAAAAAAAAAAGCTCTTGTGGTTAACTGAATTCAAAGATAAATGATCTGTACAATGTCCATTAAATCCACAAGCTCCTCCTCTGCCTCCACCACGACAGGTGGCATTAAGCCTGGTAATTCCATACAATGTCAGGGTCACGACACCGCTGAGGGACTGTGGATTGGCACAGTGGCTGTGCTGGCTAGGCCCTCATCTCTCTCGCAGAACACCTGACAAAAGCAGCTTCAGGAAAGGGCAACTTTGTTTTGGCTCACTGGCTCATCTCCAGGGTCTGCTGAACGTCATGCTTTCTGTGGGCCTGCCTTGTGGCCAGAAGTCATGGTGAAGGGAGCACCTGGGAGAGCAGGTCACCTTCTCACGGCAGAAAACAGGAGGGAACCAGGACAAGATACACCATTCAAAGACCCAGGCCCCACCTCCTACGTGTGGACCAAATCACCTATCTCCAGTGCCTCCGGTTGGGTGTTATTCAATCCTCAGAGTGAGACTTCATCATACCCAAGCCACTGCAACCGCTGAGAAAAAGAACTTGGCAGAATCTACAAAACTAAGCACAGACTAGCCATTTGACGTAGCAATTCCAGCCTTAGGTATGTGCATAGCTACGGGGAATACAAATGTGCACATCAAAATGCATGGGCAAAAATATTGACAGGAGCATTATTCGTAACTGCCGAGTACCATAGATTACAAAGGTACTATACAAAGGCAGAGGCTGGCTGTCTTTAAAGGACAATTAGAGGAAATCAGAGGATTACAGGACATTACAGAAGTCTGGCAATGAAACACAACGCATGGTCCTGGATCACATAAATGCCTTTGTTAATGTAGTCCAGTCATGGCCTTGACTCAGAGGTTGTTGATGCTTTTGCTAAACCCTGGAGATTTTCTGCTCGAATCCACAGAGCAGTCTTGTGAGCATTGCTCCACTTCATCCTCGATCTCAGAGTGAGCTTTCTAAACACAAAGCTTTGTTGATGTCCCAGTGTCTGATTTGTTTCACTTCCTTCCCGACCTTGCTAGCCACGATCAGCCAGGCTATCTTCTAACCACAGACAAATGAGGCCAGCTGAGACCAGGATAACCAGGCAGCTGATCACTATGCCCAGCGCCAAACCACAGAATTGTGAGCTAAATACAATTGTTTAGGCTGATAAGTCTGAAAGCACTTCATAATGAAATACAGCTAACGACGGCAATTCCCTCATTCAAGACCCTTCACGGGTCCGCTTCTTTCTGGAAAGCTGTGATTGTGGCAGACATCGAGGTGCAGAATTCATCACTGCATTTCTGCCCAGGATCAGAACAAACATGGAGTGGAGGAGGATGCCTTAAAAAGCCAGCCATCCATATAAGTGATGCTCTAAGGTAGCTTGGGCGAGTTGCTGGTTGACTGCATTAGTCACTGGTAGGGGTTTTGAGACAGTCACCTCAGACCTTGAAGCTCACTGTGTAGCTGAGGTTGGCCTTGAACTCACCAGTCTCCTGCATCCACTTCTGCTGGGCTAGGGTTACAGGCTTTGCCACCATTTGCAGCTTTAATGCATCATTATTTAACACAAGTTTGTTGTCTGCTTTTTTTGTTATTGTTGTTTTGTTTTGTTTTGTTTTGTTTGAGACAGGGTCTCACTATGTAGCTCTGGCTGGCCTGAAACTCACTATATGGCCTCGGCTGACCTCCGAACTCAGAGATCCCCCCTACCTCTGCCTTCTGAGCGCTGAGATTAAAGGCATGAACCACCACACTCAGATCAAAATTAACTCTTCAAAACTTATTTTAAAGATTTTTAAAGCAAGCCTAGATCAGGCAGCAATATAAGCGCCATGTCTAGCTAACATTCAGAGGTGCTGGTGGAGGTCAGGAGACAGGTAAATGGTGTTAAGAGAAAACGTGAAAGCACACACTCCCTTTTCCCCAGACTGCTTAACTTGAAACGCATGGCTATCATGCTGTCCTATGGAACTCAAGTTTTACCACAAAAGGCGGCAGGTGACAAGGAAGCCGGCCAGGGTCTCCCATTCTTCCTTCACCACCTGACCAAGGGCCTCGCGGGCAGCCACACCAGCCAAGGCAGAGGAAGGGCAGCTGCTGAGATTCAGCACAGATGGAGCTTGCAAAGCCAGTAAAAAGCAACTTCAATTTAGACATTGCTTTCCGCTTCAAAATTATATCGACAAGATTACATTAAAGAACCTGCTAGAAGAAGCAGATAAAATGTGCTCATCTCTAAGCTCTGTAACCAAATGTTTTTAATGGTCTTACCACGCGCTCACTAAAATTAAAATAAAATCTCAAAACGCTGTCCCTGATTATCTTTCCTAAATGGATTGGAATCAAACCACGGGGGGGGGGTGTTACTACGTAACACTTGCTCTTTGTGCAGCCTCTTATGTATTTAGCTATTAATGAAGTTCCCATTTCCCCGAGGAGCAGTCCCGGGCCTGCATAAGAGGGAACATGGACTCCTCTGTCTCTAACTGTAAAAATCACCACCCAGCTCAGCTGCGAAAAATGACATTGATGTGGTATAAATAAGAGGAGATTTAAATATATTAAATTGGGAGAAGGCTTTAAGTCATAAAAATACTGTATATTTGTGGGTTAGAATAGCTATAATACAGGGCTAGAGAGGTGGATCATTGTTGAAAGTGCAACATGGCTTTTCCAGGGGACAAGGTTTGGTTCCCAGCACCTATGTGAAGTGACTCGCAACTGTTTGTAACTCCAGGTCAGGGGGAATCTAATGCCTCTGGCTTTAGCAGGCCCTGCACACACACACACACACACACACACACACACACACACACACAAACACACGCACACACGCACGCACACAAACATGCACATGCACAATTTAAAAAATCATCTTTTAATCAATGATAATAATGCTGGATGCTTCCCAGCATGAACTTACCACTGTGTCCAAGCTATCTGCCACATGTGTTATAAACATGGCATTAAATTTAGTATTACACCATCGAGTTAAAGAGAGGCATATTTTTCTTCTTCCCATAAAAGACAAGCAAAAGAGAACTTCTACATCCTGTGTATATGAATGAATAGCCAATATACCGAGCACTGTATACGCTGTGGTGGCCTTCCAATTTAATCCCCAGAATGGTCTGCCACAGATAATTATTAGTCAGGGAATGTCTCTGAGTTCATCTTATCCCTTTATCTCTTGCCCAAGAATATTAAGAGCAACCAAACGTCATCATTATATCCTTGTTTTTCCAAAACTGTTCAGAAACACCAGAGACAGACTCACCCAGCTCCTTTCTTTCCCGGTGGTTAACCAGGTGCAAAACTATTGTGTGCACCTCTATAAAGAAGACAGACTTGGACGATTGCTGCTTTCTTCATGTTGGAAACTGAGTCATTAGAATCTTTAAGCTAGTCAGATCCGAGAGGCAATTCCAGAGCTAAAGTTTCATACCTGGGACCCACATAAAAGAGGAAGGAGAGACCCAACCCCAAAAAGTTAGCCTCTGTCGTCCATGATTGTGCCATGACATACTCGCTAACCTGTCCATGTGAGCACACACAAATAATAAGTTTTTTAACTACTGAGCATGCCCAGTCCACAAGCATGTCCCTGTCAGTCATGTGAGTGAAACTGGACAAGATAGGAATGGTCAGGACAACCTGTCTCTAGCTTGTAGACTCATAGATGACTAAAGTTTAAGCTACTGGTTTCTGGAGAGGTACTTCTGAGGAGTCGTTGTCATGGCAGCAGGAAGTAATCGAGGCAGACTGGCTCTCACACTTAGAGAGAAGCACAGCTTATCCAAAAGTCAGTGTCCGGTGACATCAGTATGTTTGTCTTGCCTCAACTATATCTACCGTACACCATATTGCCGAACCTAGCGCTCACCGGCACAGCGAGGCTGGTGGACCAAGGAGCTTGGGGGAACCAGCCACTTCTGCCTCCCCAGCACTGGGATCATAGGCTGTCCTACTTTGCTGTCTGTTACTGTGCTAAAACACCAACTGGGGAGAGGAGAGGGTTTATTTGACTTTCGGGTAACAGTCTATCATCAGAGGAAGCCAAAGCAGAAAGCCAAGGCAGGGGCCGAGGCAGAGAAAGGGAGACAGTCGCGGGGAAGGACTAACAGTGAGGGCTTGCTATTCGGCTCTCCGGCGCCATCACAGTGCCTGAGACAGTCAAGTCACAAAGAGCATGTTTTGAGGCTCCAGCCCGTGGTCAGATACACCCGTCCCCTTTAGTTCTCTAGAAAGGAAGCTGGGTGACAGAGCAGGCTGTTCACCACAGGATCAGGAAACAAAGACAGAAGAGGCTAGGTCAGGCCAGGCTCCCATCAGAACAGGCCCCCATCAGAACAGGCCCCCACCAGAACAGGCTCCCACCAGAACAGGCTCCCACCAGAACAGGCTCACATCAGGCCAGGCTCCCATCAGAACAGGCTCCCATCAGGCCAGGCCCCCATCAGAACAGGCCCCCATCAGAACAGGCCCCCATCAGAACAGGCCCCCACCAGAACAGGCTCCCATCAGAACAGGCCCCCACCAGAACAGGCTCCCATCAGAACAGGCTCCCACCAGAACAGGCTCCCACCAGAACAGGCTCCCATCAGGCCAGGCCCCCACCAGAACAGGCCCCCATCAGAACAGGCTCCCATCAGAACAGGCTCCCATCAGAACAGGCCCCCATCAGAACAGGCTCCCATCAGGCCAGGCCCCCATCAGAACAGGCCCCCATCAGAACAGGCTCCCATCAGGCCAGGCCCCCATCAGGTCACACTCCCAGCATCTTTGAAGGACGTGCTTCCAATGACCTAAAGACCTCCCACAAGACTCCACCTCCTGAAGGAACCATCATTTCCTAATAGCACCATTTGAGGAAAGAGACTTTAATACTGGGGTCTTTAGCAGACAATCAGAAAACAGGCTGTAGGGGGGTAAAAGATGAGCCTGTAAGAGAATATGTCACATTTTATCATATACATAAAATGGAAAATGTAACATAAATATATGTATGTGTGAACTATCTGTGCTTATATCTATACATACTATATTAATATTCCATCCAATAGGATATATTTTAAGGAACTGGCTAATATACAACTACCGGGACAAGCCAGTAGAAAATCCATGGAGCAGGCAGTAGCTAGGAACTTGTAGGCAAGAGTCAAATTTTCTTTTTCTTTTTTTTTAGACTTATTTATTTTCTCTTATGAGTCAGGGTGTTTTGCCTGTATGTATGCACATGCACCCCCTGCATGCCTGGTGTTCATGGAGCTCAGACGAGAACATAGGATCCCTGGAGCTAGAGTCACAGATGGTTGCGACCCACAAGTAGGTGCTGGGAACTTGACCCCAGGACCTCTCCAAGACCAACAAGTACTCTTAGCTGCTGAGCCATCTCTCTAGCCTCTCAACTCTATCATCTTAAGGCAGAATATTTGGCCCCTCGGGGTAACTGCAGTTTTGTACTTATATTCTTTCAAGTGATTAGTTAAGGTACCCTCACATTATTGAGGGAAATGTCAAGTGTTGTACATGTTTAATTAAAGTAAAATGTTGTAAATGTTAACTGTGTCTATAAAATCCCTTCATAAAGTCACACTCATCTTCCTGTTTGATTCAACAGCTGAGTGTGACAGCCTGTCCATGAAGGCATAAAAGCTAGCCATCAACTGAGGAAATGCACACATTAAGCTGAGACCCCTATGAAAGACAGAGCCAAGGAGAGATGAGCTGAAAACAGAGAGATTCAGGCAAGAGGACCAGGTAATGCTGAGGCTTCAAGGCTGAGCTGAGCTCACTAAGCAAATGGAAAGTCCCTGTGTAGGCCCAGCAGACTGGAGAGCACATCTGGAGAAGCAAGCGGGGACCTTTTCCTTTGTAGTACATTATTTAAAAGTTGTCCTGCATTCTAGCTACAGTTGGAAAGAAGCTGATATATTATTTTAAAGACCACTCTAGTAGCCAGTGGAGAATTGAGCATAAGCACAAAAGAACATGGCAGCCAGGAGACAATTTAGAAAACTATTGATTTGTTCAGGGCCAAAGTTACGCGAATTTTGACTTCTGAAAAAAAAAAAAAAGGTCAAAGTGGGAAAGCCAATGAATCCAAACGTTTGGGTTGTGGATGGTAGGAGCCAGGATGATGCATGAGACTGGGACTCAGGAAAGACATGAAGGCATAAATGTGAAGCAGGTATAGTAGCATGCATATGCAATCCTAGCACTGGAGAGGCAGAAAGAGAAGAACCCCTGGGGTTTGTTGACCATCTAGTCTAGCCAATCAACAAGCTCTACATTCAGTAAGAAACTCTGTCTCAAAAATGATTGATAGATAAATAGATACATAGATGATAGATAGATAGATAGATAGATAGATAGATAGATAGATAGATAATAAAGTGAAGAGCTGAGGAGATGGCTCCGTACACAAAAATAAATAAGTGAATAAATCTTTAAAAAATGAACTTGGAAAATAGAAAGCAATTAACAAGAAGAAAAACCTAAATCAGGGAAATCAAAATTAGAAAATCAATAAAGAAAAAAAATCAATGACATTAGTGAGATGTATGAACCTCTGTTGAGACAACCGAAGAAAAGGAAGTAAAAGACATAAGCAAGCGTCAGGAAGGAGACACTACTACAGACAGGGCCTGGGACACCAAGGAGGAAGCAATAGAGTGCCAAAGACAAGATTAGCCACAAGTTGACACTGCTGACACTTTAAAGCACCGGTTCTCAGCCTTCCTGATGCTGCAACCCCTTAACATGGTTCCTCATGTTGTGGTGACCCCCAACCATAAAATTATTTCATCGCTATTTCATAACTGTAATTTCACTACTGTTATGAACCATAATGTAAGTATCTGTGTATTCCCCTGTGAAAAGGTTGTTTGACCTCCCCCCAAGGCTACTTTAAAGGCAATGTGCCACTGTTTCAGAAATAAAATAACTAAGAAACTACCACAACTCTCTCAAAATAAAATAAATAATATGAGCTGATATATAACCATTAAGAAAATTAAACATGAGACTTGAAAACCACACACACCCCAAAAAGAAATTTCCAAATCTGGTTAGGGGTTGTGGTAGACAGCAGTAACCCTAGCACCTGGAAGGTAGAGGCAGTAGGATCAGGACTTCAAGGCCATCCTCTGCTACACAGTAAGGCTGAGGCCAGCCTGGACTACATGAGACCCTGTCTCAAACAAACAAACAGAACAACGATACTAATCATTTAAAGAAAAATTCATCCTGATTATACAGTCCCTTCCAGAACATACAAGATAGAGTATTTCCCAATTCATTTTATGAAGCTGGTATTTATCTAAAAACAAAACCAAAAAGAAAAGCTGTGTACTGGTGGTGCACAACTTTAATCCCAGCACCTGGGTGGCAGAGGCAGGTGGATCTCTGAATTCAAAGCCAGCCCGGTCTACAGAGTGAGTTCCAGTACAGCCAGGGCTACACAAAGAAACCCTGTCTTGAAAAACAAAACAAAAAAGGACATTTTGAAAAAGCGCAAATCAAAGACCAATGTCCCTCATAAAAATAGACAAAATCAGTGGGAAAGTCTATCAAATAGAATGTAGTACTTACAAAGAATCAAGTATGGTGGCCCACTGTGGGCTGTACATAAAATGTCCTCCCAAGGTGTTTGAAAACTTGCTCTCCAACTAGGGGTGCTGTTCGGGGAGGTTTTGAAACCTTTAGGAGCAGGGGCCAGGCAGGGAAAAGTGGGTCACCACGGGGCTGGCTGCTGCTTCCCTTTCCCCTGCTCCCTTATTGGCCCAGGTTTAAGCAAGCTCCCTTGGCCACAGCCCCGAGCCTCCCCTGTCGCCATCTCTTGCTGGCATGGTGGCCTATTTCCCATCAATCCTTTCCTCCCCTTGAGTCATTCCTTTCTGTTATTTGACCACAATGATGGGACAAGTAACTGTAGTTTATACAGGGAATTGATTCCAGAGTTGCAAGACAGAGGCAGTGTTTGAAAAACAACCAACGCAATTCATTAACTAGGCTACTGAAGAAAAATTACATGGTATACAATAGATGAAGAAAAAATTTCACAAAATTCAATACCCATTCATGATTTTAAAAAAACCATAAACTCAGAAATACAGACTAGCGGCAATCTTGAACTTGAACGGGAGCAATTGCAAGAACGGCTTCAAATGACATGTTTTCTGGTGAAGCACAATGATTTATGCTCAAGGTCAAGAGCAAGCCAAGGCTAACTATTCTTGCTGCTCTCTGACATGGTGCTTGAATCTCTAGCCAGTAGAAGTAAGGCCAAAAACAAATAAATAACACACAGACTGTAAAAATAGTACCAAACTGCCTACACGTTGGCAGATACATGGACATGACAAATCCCAAGCAACTTCACAAAAAAGAATTAATAAGTGGGTCCAGAGAAGTAAATAGCACATGAGATAAATACACAAAATTCTACTCTAAGTACGGACAGTGAAGACATGAACATCAAAAGTAAGGTGACAAAATATCAGTTACAATTGCTAAAGCTTAAACATTTAAGTGTAAGTCTCAGGAAAGAGTACAAGGACTTACTGACTGAAACTTAGAAAACTCAATGAGTAAAATCAAAGACCTAAGAAAGTTGAAACTCACATCCTCCTCCTCACTTGAACAACTGAACATAGTGACTACACCCGCTCCTCTCCCCATTAGCGTTCAAGTTTAATGCTATTTCAACCAAAATTTCAGCAGGAGATCCTGTAGCTCTAGGTTAGAATACTCTGAGTCATAGCTATGGAAAAGCGGAGGGACTAGAACTATTCACAGTTCTGGGGAGGAAAAATAAAATGGGAAAAGTTGCTTACCTTTTTGTTCACTGCGTGTTTACAGTGATACAAAGGGTGTGTATTGACGAAGAGACAGGAGCACAGACCGAGACAAGACAGATGACACAGAGGTAAGCCCCACTAAAGCACCCCGCAACACTGGGCAAAGTCAACACAGTACAGGAAAGGGGACACCGTCAACAAAAGGTGACAGCACATTTAAATACCCATAAGTAAAATGCAACATCTATATACCTTGAACTAAACCTCTCTCTTCACTCTGCAGGCAAAAGGAAGGAAGAAGGGACAGAGGGGATAAAAAGGACAACAGACATAAATGTTGACCAGTTATGGGACACACGCCTGTAATACCTGTAATCCCGTCCCTCAGGCAGACACAGGCAGAACTCTGAGTTCAAGTTCAGCCTGATCGACACAGCAAGTTCCAGGCCAGTGAGAGTTACATAGTGAGATGCCGTCTCAAAAACAAAACAAAACGGACTTCAATGTAAAGCAAAACACCATGCAAATCCTACGCCCTCTTCTGCCTCCAGGGACATTGCATCCATTCACATAAACCCACACTCAGAAACACACAAGCTGTTCAGTTAGTTCTTGTCAACTTAACACAAACTAGAGTCACACAGGAGGAGGA